TTGAGCTTCAACGTCACCACGAGTCTTTCGTGTGTGGTTAATATTAATCCCTTTTTTTTTGTCTTCTTCGGTTCATGTTATTACCATCTTATACATATCTCCACACCACATAACACATATATACGCACTCATCGGCAACATGTGATCGTTGTGCTCAAGATAGCTGGCGTACCTGATGACAAAACACAATGTGCCAAAAAGTCTAGATACACGGCCTAATAATACGGACAACCAATCAAACTCTCAGTGGTTGTGAATAGCACCGGGCAAATTTAACCGAGAACTGAAAACCGAACCGAAAGAATCGGAACCGAAACCGAAAGAACCGGAACCGAAAAATTCGGTTCCTTATTTGGTTCCTGATATTGAGGAACCGAAATAACCGAAGAAAATTCGGTTCCTACTCTCGGTTAATCTAATTAACCGAAAGAACCGAATTACATGAATTATACTTTACTTACTTGTATTTTGTAGGATTATGTTTGGTTTATGTGTAGTGTTTTATATTTGAACTGCTATATATTTGTGTTACTATATTGCTATTATTTTCTTATACATTATTATTATTAAAAATGAACACAGTGTTGCATAAATTTGCCTTAGAACACATATTTATTGTTGTCTTTAGGTCTTCTGAAAAAATTGGTTAGTTCGGTTAGAACCAGAACCGAACCGAAATAACCGAGAACCGAAATGTTCGGTTCCTAAAATTTTTTGGAACCGATCGGTTCCCGTTTTTAGGAACCGAATTTCATAAATAACCAAGAGAACCGAACAGAAACCGAACCGAGAACCGAACGCCCATCCTGAGTTGTGAAGACTTAGGGCGTGCTCGGAAGATTTGCTTAGCTAGTGTCGGTGTTTCGAGTTACCACCGACGAGTAAATTTCTAGTATTGTGCGTTTGGATCGGATGGTGTGCTTAGAAGACACGAGATTTATACTGGTTCGGACAGAAAGTCCCTACGTCCAGTTCGTCGCTGCTGCTCGTGTTACTAGCACTAAAAGTTTGTAGTATGGGGTACAAACATGCGAGAGGAAAATGATCCCAAGTCTCTGGTGGAATGAGTGAACGGGTGCTAAGAGCTCGATCGCTGCTCAGCCGTGTGTTCGTGTCGTATTCTTGTGTGTTTATCTCGTGTTCTGATCTCGTGCGGATCTGGCTTGATCGGGCCCCCTTTTCATGGGGCGCCCTGCTTTTCCTTTTATAGGCTAAGGCAAAGCGCGGGTTACAGCGGAGGAAAAGGAGAAGAACGAGAGAGAGGAAGGCTTCCAGGACCACCGGGTCCTTCTTCTCCTTCATGCGGGCCCCGCCGACCCTGTAGATGTCAACAGGGGCGGCTCCACGTCGTGGCCCTGTCCGTCACTGGAGCCATGCACAGGCGTCATCTGCCGGTCATGGCGCTCCATTTCGTCCTAGAGGACGTTGTGGTGAACAGACGCGCCTGTCAGCGTTCGTACGAGGGTTAGGTAGAACAACACTGGTATGTCCGACGCTGTTTTTGATGTGAATCCTCAGATATGGCCCGTCTTGGCCACGGGTTACATCGAGTCGTGCTAGTCTCTTCCCTGGTGTCAGGATTTTGATCCAGGCCCATACGCCTGGCCCTGGAGTGGTTGGCGGCGGTATGGGACCCCATCAGGCGACACGGAGCCCGCACCCAAAGGGTCGGACGAGACGGAGCCCGTGACCTTGAGGTCAGGCGAGACGGAGCCCGCGACCTTGGGGTCGGGCGAGGCGGAGCCCGCGCATCTATGGTCGGTTGGAGTTATAGTCGCGCTCTTGACTGCTCGGATGAATCAATGTTGATGGCCATTAGCTCCTCCTCTTCGAGTACCCTAGTATTGGTCTCCGACAGTAGCCCCCGAGCATGCGGAGGAGTAGAATACTCCTTCGGAGGGTTTTCCGAACGGGAGGATTCTGAGGGCCTTGGCCTTCTTTTGTCGCCCACGGTGTGTCCTAGGGACGGCGATTCTCTTTCATCGTGATCGGACCCTTCGGGGGTATAGCCGTGAGATTTAGTGGGTCGAAAAAGGTCTTTCCGGATTCCGACCCCTACGGGGGTCTGTCGTTCTGCGACCGCGCGTTCGGTCTCCTTACGAGTCCAACTTTCCTCGAGCCCCCGCCCATAGCAGGGGTCCGATCGAGGATCGGCTCGTCTTTGCGATCGTCTTCCCTCAAGCGTTTTTTTTTGATAAAAACGGACGGGCTGAGCCGTGCTTTGATTTTTCTCTATGGATGAATCATGGTGCTCGGTGAGCTGTTAACGGGCTAGTCCGAGTGGGGCCCCGGCATCCCATTCGCGGGGGGCTGGCTTGGGTCAGCTTGGTGACCGACTCCAGATTCTCAACGGTCAATCCATATATTTCTCGGGTCCGTTCGACCGGTCCCAAGGGCTCTCTGTCTTTCTTCGAGGAAAAACCATAGATCGTATCTGCCCGAGACTCGAACATGGGCCGGGATACCCGCGACGCTCATGCGCCGGGGTACTGGCTGCTAGCAGGCCCATCCCTTTCCACCCCTTACTCTAAAGGTGCCAGAGTGGTTGTTGAACCCGTCGGTGGGTCAACCTTCGAACTCCTGGGCCTAGACGGGTCGTAGGAGCGTTTTCAGCTCTGTATCCCTCTTACCTGTGACGGGTCGTGGCCCGTTCAGGGAGGCAAAACGTCCGGCCTGTTTTCCAAGGGGACGGCCATAGGTTGCGTGCGCACGCCCCACGACGAGATGTGGTGACAGGTCGTGGCAGGCGCGGAGATCTAGGCGGGCGGTTGGTTTCCTTGCACCCGTCGCCCCTATAAAATCAAAGGGTTAGCCCTCCGTGTTTCATACGAGCGCCTGCATCCTTACCTCCGCAGCCACGCCGCCGCCGCCAACGCTTAGGTTTCCTGCTTCCGCATCTCCGCCGCCGTTGAGCTCGCATCCATCCACCCCCACCTCCAATGGATCCGTGGTGCCGTTCCGATAGTTAGGCTCACCTTGCCTCGCCTAGACGCCCGGGCGCCACGAGACACTTGCCAGACTGGGCAAGCTATTTTGGCCCTCTCAAGGCAGAGAGGTTTTCCTTGGCGGCGCATAAATCGAGGCAAGCAAAGCACGGGAACCAAACAGCTAGTAGTGCCCTTAGCTCGTAGGCCTTGGTGATTGAATGAAGCAAATTTGGACTTGAACTTGTGGTGATTAAGGAGAAATTGAAATTCTATGTTTGTTTGGAAGCTTGCCGTTCCATAGATGGGAGTGACACTAGATAGTAAACATTTGAGTCCTAGTGGTTGCGGTGAAAATTATAAGAGTTTGTTTGATAGAGCTTTATTCCGTAATTCTCTTATGGAGGTAGAGAATTGGAGTAGGGTGGATAGCACTTGGAAAGTGATTCTTAATGGGAATTACATATGGAGGTGAAAAACGTTTTTTTAGTTTCCATCTGTCATTATTATAAATTGAAAAGTGAGTCTCGTCTGAATTTTACTATTTAGATGAGGAAAAGTGATTCTCAAGGAGAAATTGCTCTAAGGATTGCTGCCAAACAGGCAAACAGCCCATAGGTAATAAGTCTGCAGTATGTTTGTATGAAATCCTGAGAAAATGAAGGGGGCGACTGAAACGTTTGGTATACGGTATACGGACGCGGAAATTAAATCGGGGAGCGACGGCGCCGGCCGCCGGCCAGCTGGATTTGCCGCGTTTTGCTTTGTGGCTTGTGGGGGCGGCTACGCGTACCTGCACGTGACGTAAGAAGTGGCAACGTGGCACCGTATGTATGTATATGCGTCTTCCAACCATACATATAAAGATGTATATATTTCTATATCTTATACTAAAGCAAAACCGCACTAACTATTTATCTGAACACGTAAGCTGTCTAACTAGAAAATACACTATCACATACAATTAAAATTCACTAGCACATGCAACTATTATGTCCATGTTAACAAGACACATAAGTATTTCGTTGTCCACATCATCGTACCACACAATTCACTAATTCGTAATTCCCGCGGCAATGCGCGAGGTATACTTCTAGTTTATTTATAAGTTGGTTGGTTGCTTTTTGATTTTTTTTTTTTACATGTGGTTGGCTCCTGGACATCGTCGCCGTCCCCGATCGCATTGCCCTTGCATTGCACGGCACCGCACGGTAGCACTGACAGCCTAAACAAACATGTGTGCTTTTGTTTATCTGTGCTCATGACCCCGGTGTGCTTCTTTTTTAAGGGAAACGAAAAATTATATCAAAATTCAACAAAATACATCTTCAGATTACGCACAAAAAATCTAAACTAAAAATAATATGATATTCTATTTAGATTCTTCACCGTCCTCTTCTCTGATGCCTTTCTAGATGCTCTAGATGAGCTAACACCAAATACAGCCAGAGGTGCAGCCTATGGCCTCATTCGCTCGTCTTAAAAGTAGTTTGTTCGGCTTCTTTTTTCAGCTGGAACAGTGTTTTTCTCTTACAACAATTCAGTCGGAACAATGTTTTTCAGACAGTTTCAGCCAAATTTCAGACCAGCGAACGGGACCTATGTGTTGAATCCAAACATCAAACTCAAAGTGTTGTCTGATTGACCATAGGTACATGTGTACGTATATACTTGTACTTCCTCCGTGCTTCTAAAGAAAGTCGTCTTAAGCCAAGTATTTTAAACTTTGACTACAAATAAATTCTTTTGGGTTGAGTTTGAAAATATAAAAGTGATGTAAGTGACTCATCTCGAAATGTAGTTTATTATGAAATAGATGACATGACCGTTACATAAATCTCGAGGCCTTTAAGTCGTTTAGGTGAAAGTGCAGCAAGATGTATGTTTTTTTTTTGATCGGAACAAGATGTATGTTTTCGTTGTAACCAGAGGCGCACGGTCACGTTTTGCTAGATAAAAAAGAAATGAATCTGAAGAAACATACATGCATTGCATGTTATAGAACCGTACGTACGTGCTCTAAATAAATGTATATAACTGTAACAAATCGACTCGATCGATCGGACGTCTGTTACGCTACGAATCATCCTCAGCGAGGATGGCCGGCGGCGTGCGAGGCAGGTCCTTGCCGGCGAGGAAATGCGCGAGCAGTTGGCGCGCCTGGACGGGCTTGACGGTGGGCACCATGTGGCCGGCGCCGCGGACGGTGACGAAGGTGAGGCTGTGGTAGGCGACGGTGTAGCCGCCGACCTGGTCGCTGGTGAACCACTCCCTCCAGGGCTCCACGGTGGCGAGCCCAAGCTTTCGCAGCGCGTAGCGTGTGGACGTGACGGGCACGCGTGCGTCCGTGTCGCCGCTGTACACCCACACGCGGAGCCCTGCGTCGGCCAGCCTCCGGATCGCCGGCAGGGTGGACGCCGGCGAGTCCTGCCATTGCTGGAACAGCGCGTCGCTGCAGGGCGCCCAGCTGTAGGGGATGCTGCCCGTCACGTTGGCGTGCAGCGCCCTCTGCACGTCACCGCGGTTCAGGTAGGAGATGGCGTACTGGTCCAGGCACGGGTCGTAGTCTCCGTACACGTACCGCCGGCGCCGGCGGCGACGCTTGTTCTTGGCCATGGCGGCCGCCCCGCCGCCCCTGCGGGAGAACGACGACGACGACGATGAGTTGGTGCAGACGGGGGTGTAGAGGCTGTAGATGTCGATGTCGTCGAAGGCTTCGTAGAAGGCGTCCATGGCTTGGTCGCAGGCGTCGCTCTGCTGGCTGGCCGCGGCGTCGCTGGAGAAGTCGCTAGCGGCGTCGTTCCTGGAGAAGTCGCAGTATGTGGCGATGGCGGAGTGGAGCTCGTCGGAGATGACGGCGTGGTCCCAGGCGTACTCCACCATGCCGCGGTCGTCGGAGGCGTCGTCGATCGCGGCGTTCCCGATCATGAATCCCCTGAGGTAGATGTGGCGGCTCTTGTGGACCTTCCTGTTCATCTCCAAGATCTTCTCGGCGAGCTGGGGCACGTAGTGTCCTGCACGTACAAATTAAACACATTGTATTGTGCATGCAGATTAAGATTATTGTGTGCAGTCTAGCAAAAGCAATGGAAACCAGATAGATTAGAGGACTAGTATACTACCTGCGTAGCTCTCCCCGGTGATGTAGAAATCATGGCCCTTGAACTGCGGGAACCTCTTGAACCACTCCACCAGGAAGGTGTAGGCGTCATGGGCGGTGAGCTCGTCGCCAAACTCTTGGAGATCCGAGGTGGTGTTGGTGTAAGAGAAGCCAACACCGGCAGGGGATTCCAAGAAGAGCAGATTCGCCTCTCTGTTCCATGATTCAGGGTTGAGCCGGAGCTCATGGCGATTTGTTCCAGGGTTTTGGATCAGGAAGGGTCCCAGCTCCTGGATTGCACCGGTGCCCAGCGACGAGCAGCCGGGCCCGCCGTTGAGCCACAGCACCACCGGTTTCTTTTGCACGTTGTGGGTGGCCTCCAGGAACCAGTAGAAGAGCGCGCGGCCGTGCGTCTGGTTCACCGTTACGTACCCGGAGAAGTGCCGGAACCCCACCTCCGACGGCTGCCCCGGCAGGGCCTCCACACGGTCAGCCTCCTGCCGCTCGAACACCGCCTCGTAGTCGTCGGTGTAGTGGTGATGATGCCGCCTCGCCGCCGCCGTCCTAGACGTAGAGGCGCCGCCTGAGAGGACCACGATGGCGACGAGGAGGAAGGCTGCTGTCACCATGGTTGTCATCGTTGCTGCGCAGATTGCTTTTACTTTATTTTCGTTTTGTCCTCTCTATATCTTTTGTATATATACACATATACGAGAGAGTTTTTTTTTTAATTCTGTTAGTTTCTCTTATATTGGAGTGTATTAATATAAAATAATACCCACCGACGTTTGCCAGATGGTTAAAATTAACAAATATCCTGCAAATAACATATATGGAGTACATACATAACCAATCTACTCCATTATCCAGTCCATGTACATATTTCAATTCCCGGCCGTGTGAATGAACAAATATATATATATATATATATATATATATATATATATATATATATATATATAGAGAGAGAGAGAGAGAGAGAGAGAGAGAGAGAGAGAGAGAGAGAGAGAGAGAGAGAGAGAGAGAGAGAATAAATGACCAGGTATAGTCGATCGTTGCAATCAGATCAGCACCGTGCTACCATCAATGTTACTGCACCGTGCCATATATAAGTCCACATTCACCAGACATGGCATATGGTACAATAATAACGAAAATCAGTGAAAAACATTCATTTGATTCAGAGACTAACTGAAACCAAATCCACTCCATCACACAGCAAACGTACTGATGAAAAGCAAAAATATCTCTTATGTATTAATTAATGTGTAGCTCTGCCTGGGATGGGATACATTCATTCCATCAACACATGCATGCATGCTGTATACAATACATCTAGCTAGGCTCCATTGTATTGCTGCGTACCTACTGTTTTGTAGGAGTACAAGTCAACTGATTGTGCAAACACCAGGGCTACAGACAGAGCAAGGTAAAAGAAAAATAAATAAATAAAATGATGGATGGATCATATACTGGAGCTAAGCCGTCGCTTCCCTGGCACTGACGGTTGAGTAATGTGATGTACACTTTTACACCGTGATCTGAATTGTAACCATCGCCCTGGCACGGTTCCAGCATATGCTCTGCCAAGTCACCTCTTCCATTGCCACCCATTATCCACTAGTCGCGGCACGCTTCATCATTATCATTCATCAAAGCTGGATCAGTGTAGCAAGCAACCATGGCACCCAAACCTGTACGCAGTACTCTACTGACTTTCATTCAGTTCAGTCCAACGCAGTTTTGGTCCTCCGAGCTGACGCTGGTTTGGGCAGGCCATCAAGTAACGGTCGGGTGAAGGAGTCATGGTTGAAGGTCCACTTCGAACTTGACCACATAGAGACCCCATTCTCTGCATCTGCAAAGTTCGGTGCGCTTGGCGACTTCCTCACAGTCACAGATTTGAACCCGCTAAGAAACGACATGCTGCTCTTCTGGCTGGAATCTGGGTTGCATGTATCCATGTTTAGACGGATGCTGGAAATCGGCCGTGGCAACAGACTCTTGATCGCCTTAATTGGATCTGCTAGAAAATCATCCTGGGCGTCCGCTGTGTTAGGCTCCGCTTCCACTTTCTGTCGCCGCCGCACCGAACTGTCTTGCTTTGGTTTGGGTGCCCCATTGCCATTGGCCCTGTTGGCAGCGTTCGTTGCTGAAAAGCCATTAGCTGGGGCATCAAAATCCCAATTTCTGTCGATACCCTTCGTGCCTGGGGCTGTGGAAGGATTGAGCAATGTTTCGCTGAGGTTAATCTGGAAGCCGCCGCCCTTATGGTACGTAGACATTTCAGTGCTGAGATCCATGGTATTTCCTTTCTGAGATGTCAGGCCATAGTATCTCTGCAGGGTGCTCATTGCAGGTGACGCCCCCTGCTGACCAGACTTGGATGAATCTAGTGAATCAAGAGCATCTCTGTTTTGACGATGGTTTGGAGGCCGTGCTCTGCAGAAACCACAAAAGTTAAGTTCAAAGTGCACAAGTGTATCACTTGTCAACTGAAAATTTTCATAAAGATGTCACCACAAAGATTTTTCACATTTATGTTTGTCTTTGCAGAGGATTATATGTATTTATGTTTCATCTACTGACAATGATTCAAAATGCAGTTGTAATGATATCGGTGGAGCTTAAGCAATGGCAGATAAACCGGGAGCAAGCTGAGTATATGGTAATAGACAGTTGAGTGTCAACACTGAGTTCTAAGGGGGGAAAAACGTTATGCTTTCTCTGCAACTAATTCAAAACTAGTAGCAAAATTTAAATTAATTAAGAGGTTCTGGGCATGGTGTAGAAGATTGAGTAGGAAAAACACACGAGGGAGGGGAGATGTACCTTTTCGTTCTTTGACCAGAACTATTCAGTTTGACAGAGGATGGCATGGGCATTCCTGGAAGAGGTATGAGCAACGTTTTGTGTGCAAACATCTGGCTGTCAGTGACCAAACTGTTTGCCCTCTTAATGTCAGATATCTACAAGTAATAAAAGAAGTAGTAGATCTATAAGACAGCAACTCAAAGGCTCATAATGTTAAATTCACAAAAAGAGACGTGTAGTGTACGGAAAAAACCAGGATTTTAGAAGCGAAGTAAAGAAGCTGTAAATAAAAGAATCTATAAAAGGTAAATGCTTAGCCCTTGGTGTCGCTGTTAATACCAAGTCCCTGGGAAAAAAAAAATCAGTTGTTGACGTAATATAACAGGTGTCAACGTTAAGTTTACTACGGATTTATAAGAAACTAAAACAGATGACGCGAAGATCATTCATCACTCTGAAGGTCAGCTATGAGCATTACAAACACGGTAAAGTTTCTTTGGATCTTGCCAGTAGACGAAGACGAAGCAGAGGAACGGAGATTCTTTTGAGATATCATTCCCTTCCTTTGCGTGTAGCAAGAAATGAGGAAAAGTTGAAGTTTTGGTGAACAGCACGAGACCTCTTCCATCTCGCGGGCGGGGTATAGAGGCTTTTACCCACCACCACCAGCAACCAAAGCCATCATGAAAGAAAAAAATAGAAAGGGGAGGCGACTAATCGGTGGATGAATGAATGATGAATACCTCGACGCCGTACTTGATGGCGATGCCGGCGAGCGTGTCCATCCGAGTAACCTCGTGCTCCAGGAGGTGGCGGTGGGCGAGCGGCGACGAGGGAGGCGTCGTCTGCGGCGAGAGGACGGCGCCGCGGAGGGCGTCGTACTCGTCGGAGAGAGGGTGAGAGATCCCCATGGCGACTCGCGACTAAGTCAGAGCGGGGCGGCGCTGGATGGTGGGCAGGCAGATCTCGGCGCGCAGAGCAGAGCAGAGCTGAGCAGAGCGAGATTTTGGGATGGGAAAATCCGCGTGGAGGAGGAGAAGGAGAAGGAGGATGAAGGTTGGGTGCAGGTGAGGCGTCGCCGTCGGTGGAAGGAGGAGACGAGAAAAGGCGCGCCTTTTCTTGTGTAGGAGGGGAGCCGAAATGAAATGGAATTTTTTTGGAAGGAAAAGCAAGGCTTGGAAGAAGGCGACCAAGCAAAGCCTCCATTCGCTCCTTCTCTCTCTCTTTTGTTTCTCATTTCTTCCGCCTTGGTTAGATTGGGTTAGGAATTAGTATTTAGCACTGTAGCATTTTTATTTGTATTTGATAATTATTGTTCAATTATGGCCTAACTAGGCTCAAAAGATTCGTCTCGTAATTTACAATCAAACTGTATAATTAGTTATTTTTATATCTACATTTAATACTCCATACATGTGTCCAAAAATTTAATGTGATGGAGAGAAAGTGAAAAAACTTGCAATCTAAACCAGCCCTTCCATACCATAGTACGCGCGGTTCCTGAAATCCTGAGCTTATTATATAATAGCCACGTGGTTATAGTGCTTACACTTTGTTCCACCGACGGCCCGACCCCACCACCCCACCGCGCCTCCTGCCTTCGCCGCCGCGCTGTCTGTGGTCAACCTTGACTCTTGAGTGGATTCTGATTAGTGGTCCGTAAATCTATACCTCTGGTACTTAAAAATGGCAAAGAGAAAAAAAAAAAAAAAAAAAGTAAAATGTACCGGCGGTCCTTAAATTTGCTTCATTGTAGCTTTTAAGCTCCAACCAGCCGGCTCCCTATAAATGCTCTCCGCCTCTTCGGCTCTTCTTGTCTCTTCTAACTGCATCTTCAAGCTCTCCAGCTCTCTCCACATTCCAATCTAGCGTGGGTCACAGTAACAACGTCAACTCGCCATCCCCGTCCCATGCCTTCGTCATTCTGCACATCAACAGCCACGTCATCATAAGTAGTGATGGCGACAAGCTAAAGCTAGTGCTCTTTAGGCGGACAAGGTAGACGAACTATTGCTTTTAGTCATCTTTAGCGATCTTTAGGTGACTAGTTGGCTAAAGACCATTTAGTTCTATTTAGTCAAAGTGTTTGGTAAAAAATGACTAAATGAGACTAGATTTAGGAGGTGAATAGTGAACCAAACACGCACTTAGTATTAAGTTCCTTCCCCGGTCAAGAATAAGGTGGAGATCCAACCACTATGGCATGTGGCATCGTGACGCGAAGTAGATCAGATCTTTTTAGACCTAGATGACACACTATGACAACCTCAAGGACCTAGATGACGTAGCGAGACAAATCCAAAAACCCTGCAACTTAGATGACACACGAAGACAAGTTCAAACATATAAACATTCATTTTAAAAGTTTAGGGACCTAAATAACATAACGAGACAAGTTCAACAACCGTCTGTATTTACTGTTGCAAAAATGCACAATGGATTGTTTTTTTATATGGGTTAGGAATACAGCTGCTGAATTGGAAATGAAAAAAAAAGAAACCATTTGCTCATTCTACGTATTTTCATATTAGAAACTAGGGATCAATCTGACGCCCACTTTATGAACTGCATGTGTTTATTTATTCTCTTTAGTTCATGTCGACATATATATATACATACATATATATCGGCTGGCCAGGCTGACCTCCTGCCGGCTCTTTACTTCACAAAGAGGGAAAAAAAGAGCCTGACCACAACTAAGTCAGGTTAGGTAAGCTAGGCACCATCTTTGACGAACTAAGTGTACAGTACAGTATTATATTGTAGTACAGATGAAAGGGTAATATAATGCACCGCTGCACTGTCCCTCCCAGACAGAAGACTCGCTCTTGCCTTGGGAGCTTGACCACCAAATATAACACGCGGCCTGCCTTCCCTTTGATTAATTCCTCCTCCTCACAAGTCACAACTCCTACCTGCAGGGTGCAGTCAAACTTACCTGCCTCCACTTGCATGTTCATGCATGGCCAACTCCTTGCCTTGCCAACAAACAACACATCTGTGGTTCTCTGGTTTATTCTAGTAGGAAAACAAGGGGACAAAAAAGAAAGAAGCAACAAAAAAAAAGGTGTCACTGTCTATGCGGTTAATTATTGGGATATGCATATGAGCAGCTTCCTGGAAGGGAGGTTCATTCCTTTGTATATACAGACAGGTTCTCTTCATTACCTGTCCTCATAATGCACGCAGAATTGCAGATACAGGCATGCAGCCCTGTTAGCTGTTACTAAAGTATAGGAGATGCAATAATGAACTAGTACTATGTGCATGTAATAAAATGAGTATATATATATATATGCTTCTGCCTCAAAGTGCTTCTTTCTTCGTTTGCTCCAGTACCATACTACCATGCAGAATCCTGAATCCCCATCCTCCTTTCTGAAACCAAAACAAAAGATGCATAGTCACCTCCTGTGCTTTCCTTTCCTTTTCTTTTCTTTCCATCAAGGCTGGGTTGGCAACTTCGCACACTAACTGTGGGAATTATTATACTATCACACTGCTTTATCATGCTATAATATCTATCTAGGCTCCACCATCAAGTTCAGTTCAGGGGAATATGATTCAGACACGGTCCCTTTCATGCATGCAATTTCAACCCTAAACCCCAATGGCTGACATGCCTTTTACACAACTGAATAAGATTGTGGTACCCTACCACTATCTCCACCAAAACTGAAAGCGGCAGATTTCTTCACTAGTTAGGTGCAGATGCAGCCACAGGCACACCATTGTCAAACTTATGCCATTCCAGATCTACCAAACCATTCATCACATTCCTGCAATCATAAGCCACAGCAATAGTTTTTTTTCCTTCTTTATTAAAAAAAAGACGCTGAAGCCCATTATGGAGTCAGTGATATGAAAACAAAAGAGCTAGACAAAAAAGACTTCATACATCATTTTGTACGAGCCGTTGACTTCCATTCATGCTAAACACTGTTATTATATTTTATTCAGTATCCAATAAGTTTTCAGACTTCGCAGCAACCTGTAGCCGGCTGCAATTTACCATTCACAACCGACACACGGTTGTCCAGTTGACTATCTGCACAGCATCTTCTGGTACACTTTTGATTCAAAGAAAACTATGACTCGAATTAAATATAAATTCAAAAGTAACTGTTATCAACGTTGCTATGCGGAAAGGTGTATCGGCCTTTGAAACAGAAAACTGCAACGTTCTAAAAAGGTACTACAAACATAACTACCATTTGTTGCCAATGTACAGCACATACAAAGGCCACACTTTCTACATGTTGTAGATATAAGAAAGGTTGTTTCACCTAATTAATTAGTTGTGCCACTACAGATCAGAACACTAAATCAAGTGCAAGCCGGAAAATGGTAAATTGGCTGGTAATGTGTTAGGTTTCTCAATAGTGTTATGTGCATAAAATATCAAACATACTCAAATTGATGGCTCAACCAACCTGGTTCCTTCTACTAGCTGATGGAAAACAACCTTTCTGTTCAAATGTTGCAAATGACATTTGGCAGGCAAAAGATAGGAGTGCAAGAAAATATACCTGATTAATTTGGCGCTGCATTTCTTCTGTAACCAGTACAGACCAAACAACCAAACTTGTACTGTCTTAGACTGCTTAACCAGTATACCAGACATTGGCAGACTGGAGAGCCAACATCATAGGTTGACAGCAAATAATACCCCTGGCAAACAACATAAATATAGTTGCAATGCACTACTGCAAAATCACAAAGACTGAGCGTTTATGGTACAGTTCACATGGAAGTATGGTCCTCAACACATCTCAGCTTAATTCAGCATGAATCACACTTCAAGATTAAGAAATAACAAAATCAGTTACTATCATTTACGCAATCTCAAAGAGGAAGATGCCAAAGAAGAAACCTGCCTCAAGAAAACAGGAACCAAGCTTCTCACAAAGTTCAAAAAAAGGAGATGGCAAAGAAGAAACCTGACTTTTCATTCCATTGTGGCACTTTGAAAAGGCATTTTCACTACAATAGAAAACAGAACCAAAACAAACTAAATTCCCATGTTATTTGTGTATTGATCTAAGAAACTCCTGTCCTAATTGGTCAACACCAAAAAGCTAGACAATTTCCACGTTTGGAAAAACATGATAAGAGAGTAGAGCAAGATTTCATTTACCCTGTGTTCTCCTGATCCAATTCAAAACGTGAGAGCAGTCATCATCCCAAGAAAACACCCTGTTCACCGGCGATAGGTTTTGAGATCACGGCTTTTGTGCATAACTTTCCCTTTTCACTTCAAGTGATTGAGGGACCATCCTTGCACTGCAGCCATGGTAAGCATCACAGACAAATTGAACAAAGCGCCTCAAATGGTTGCAAGCCATCGACCCAGTGGTAAATCTTCTCATTGCGGAACCAGGTAAGTTGCCTCTTTGCAAAGTTCCTAGATGTCCTCTGAAACTTGGCGAGAAAGTCAAGGAACTCTTGCGGGGTGCTTTCACCTCCGTTCTGCCTACAGTGCAGCAGGTACTCCATGGCTTGCTTGTAACCAATGGCACTAGTTGCAGAGTTCATACGTGGCTGCAAACCAATATCAAGAAGCCATGAGGCTTCCGAAAGTAAGCCGCCTGTGGCAGCCAGCATTTCCTCACACCTCAGATCAATTGACCGGTACAGTTCAATGCGTGGACTTGCGAGGAAAATACAGAAGAAGTCATAATCCAGCTCCCTGGCCTCACAGCTCCCAGCAGTGGAGGGGGCCTCAGTTAGGTCGGTGTCATGCTGTTCACAGAATGCATCGTACGGTAAGGCGAAGGCAGAAGGAGGGGAGCCTGATGACCTGACAATCTCAAGGCTGCGGCTCAATCTGTTACAGTTATTGACAGACAAGTCGCGAGCTTTGGGGTCACCAGCCTGCACCACCAGCTCTACTGCTTCCTCCCACTGGCCG